CAGAGCAGGAAAAAATTCCAACCCTCCGACGCTGTTTTTCCACCCCCAACTTTGCCTTTTCCACAGTTGAAATAACATTTTAAAAACGGTACAAAAAATATTTATGAAGTTTCTGGGTCCTTTTTTTTTCCAATCTCAAAGGGCAGGGCATTCGTTTTCTTGTTCGAATATTCCTAATATTATAGTCATAATATTATATTCATAATATTATAGTCATGAATATAATATTATAGTCATAATATTAGGAATATATATATTATAGTCATAATATTATAGTCATATTATTATAGTCATAATATTCTACCAATATTCTCACATGGGATAATGTTTTATACCACAAGAAATTTGTGGAAGCTCCAGTTAAACCCTCGGACATGGGGACTGTACCTGTCTGTGTTTACTCTGACAAATCCCTCCAGGGAACACAATTAAATACCACCCAAATTCCAGAGGCTCTTCTTCCCCCTGTTTCCCGCCGACTTCGGCACAAAACACCCGAAGATAAAGGAATTTTTTTCCTTCCCTCCGGCTGCTAAAAAAAACCTCAGCTTGGATCTGCAACAACCTGGACAGGGAAGGAAAAGAAGCTCCAATAATCCAAGCAAGAAGAGATTAATTAATAACCCCCGGGGATAAAACTTGTTCCCTGCCAGACTGCGAAGGGATCTCGGCGTTGTCACTAATGTTTAACATCTGCGGTGTTTAATTACCTGCGCTCATCTTTTAACTGGAGAAGGTGTGAATTAATCCTGCCCGGAGCCGGAGAAAATCATATTTATTAGCCGAGGAGCTGTTCCTGAAACAGATGGGGCGTAAAGAGCTTGGAGATGGAGCGGGGGAGATTAATTGTAATTAAGTGGTTGAGGCGAAGGGGGAGAGTCCTGAGCGCCCAGAGCAGCCAAAGCTCCGGGATTCCACCGGCACGGAGCCCATTGGAACGCTTCCAAAACTGCCTCTGGAAAACCGGGATGCTGGAGGGTGACAAGGAGCGAGGTGGGGCTCCGATTTTATCTCTCTGGCTTGGGAACCTCGTGGAATGGGAACCTCCAAATTGGAGCTCTGGGCTCCAGCAGTGTGATGGTTTGAGAGTTCTAAAATTTAATTTTCTAGTTTAAACTTCCTCCCACATCTCAGCTTAGTGTGAAATGGTTTTTCAGATACTACACAAGACTCAAAACGGGGGGGAAAGGGAATATATTGCAATGACTGTACAAATAAATATTACAATACATTATATACAATCTTAGTTGTCTCTACTATGATATAAAAGTATTTACAATGGATCAAATCTCTCTTGTAAATATTTTTCCCCTTCCCCCAGTAATGAACGGTTGTGTTTTGCCTGAAAACTCTCCACATGGGGTGAAAAAGATGTCAAGTCCATACCATCACTAAACCCTCTCACAGGGGCAAACTGTGGGAGGGGGGCTTGAACTCAAAAATTAGATTTTTGGGAATTTCAAACCACCACAAGCAGAAGGACAAAAAATCTCTGCTCCTGGACTCGAGTAAAAACCCAGCGAGTTCTGATCCAAACTCTTCGATCATCCCCCCGTAAAAGCCGTGACTGAATCACTCTGCCTTAAATTTTTCCCCTCTGAAATCAACGCCTGTTGTCCTTAAAGCTGTTATAGTCCTTAAACTCTGCATATTTAAAGAGTTAATCTTTTGTTAGGCTTAAACCAGCGCTGGTAACAATCCGGGACTCTTTGTCACTGAAAGGGTGTTTTTTGTTTGGGTTTTTTTTTGTTAGCCTTGAAATCCTCCCCTCGTGGAAATGGAGAGCAGGGAAGAGGTAAATAAAGGAAAAATGGGATCGTGGTGTTGCTGGCTAAGGGAGGAGGGCACAGCCAGACATCTCTCCTGTGCTTCCAGCAGATCGAATCCGGGGCAAATTTAGGAGGGACTCGGCTGGCAGGGCCTGTCACAGAATTCCTGAGCTGGGAGGGACCCCCAAGGATCATCCAGTCCCAGCCCTGCCCAGGACACCCCCACACTCCCCCCTGTCCCTCAGAGCGTGTTCCATGACCATCCCCAGCTGATTTCGGTGCTGTGTCCGTAACCTGCCACCAGTTTTGCAAAATTCCCACCGCTTCTATGCCAGGAACGTTCCTTTGCTGTTCCTTCCCATCCTAAAATCCTGAGCTGAGCCTTGTTTTTCCAGCCAGGGTCCTGTGACAGGTCAGGGACATCACGAGGTGGGCTCTGGCTCGTGTCTGAAAGTTGTGGAAGATGGGACTTGTGTGACACCTGGGGAACAGCCCAGCAAGGACATGGAGCTGCTGGAGAGAGTCCAGAGCAGGCCCCAAGAGGATCCCAGGGCTGGAGCAGCTCTGCTGGGAGGAAAGGCTGGGAGAGCTGGGATTGTTCAGCCTGGAGAAGAGAAGCTTTGGGGGGAACTGATTGTGGCCTTGCAGGGCCTGAAGGAGCCACAGGAAAGATGGAGAGAGACTATTTGCAAGGGCTGGAGGGACAGGACAAGGGGGAATGGCTTCAAACTGACAAAAAGCAGGGTTGGATGGGATATTGGGAAACAATTCCTGGCTGGGAGGGTGGGGAGGCCCTGGCCCAGGTTGGCCAGAGAAGCTGTGGTTGCCCCTGGATCCCTGGAAGTGTCCAAGGCCAGGTTGGACAGGGCTTGGAGCAACCTGGGCTAGTGGAAGGTGTCCCTGCCCACGGCAGGGGGTGGAATGGGATGATCCTTCAGGTCCCTTCCAGCCCAAACCATTCCATGCTGTGACCAAGCTTCAGGCCAAGGGTTCAGAAGGATAAGGAAGAGTAAACCAATATTATCAACACAGACATGACTGAGTTGTGTCATTCTACTGACATCAAACCCCACAAGAGACAAGGGGAAAAATTACCTTATGATGGGTCCAGCTGCAAGACCCCCATTGTCAGGTGCTGAGCCCCTGTTCCTAAACCTTCCTGAACCCCTGTTCCTAAACCTTCCTGAACCCCTGTTCCTAAACCTTCATAAGCCTTTATTCCTAAATTTTCCTGAACCCATGTTCCTAAACCTTCATGAGCTCCTTTTCCTAAATCTTCCTGAGCCTCTGTTCCTAAACCTTCATGAGCCCCTGTTCCTAAACCTTCATAAACGTCTATTCCTAAATTTTCCTGAGCCCCTGTTCCTAAATTTTCCTGAGTCCCTGTTCCTAAACCTTCCTGAATCCCCTTTCCTAAATTTCATGAGCCACTGTTCCTAAATCTTCCTGAACCCCTGTTCCTAAATCTTCAGGAGCTCCTGTTCCTAAATCTTCCTGAACCCCTTTCCCTAAATTTTCAAAAGCCTCTGTTCCTAAATTTCCCAGAAACATCCCTTCTGACCACAGCAGCCTCCGTTCTATTGTCTCCCTACCAAAGCACCCCCGGGCAAACACCAAAAGAGCTGCAGGATCATTCCTTTATTTGCCCGTTTAGTTTTTGTCAGAGCAGGTTTTTGACCTGCTGGGATGATTTATTCCTTAGGATTTCCCACCTCCCGTGGGCTGCACCTTCCCCCTTCCCACCCATTCCAAACCCGTATTCTGTGCCCCCTCTTCCCCTTCTCGAATACAAAAAAAAGTGGATTTATAGACACTGATACAGAACTGTTTAACTGCGTTTTTTTAACTAGGGTAGCTCTGGCTGGTAACTCTGCCTCCACTGTTCTGTCTGCACCTAGAAAATTAGGATTTTTTTTTCTTTACCCAAAGGAAAAGTTGTTTCTTTCCCACCCCATTTAAATGCGGACTCACGGAGGATCGCGGCACGTGAATGAAAACCACTTAAAAGCATGCAAATCTCCGTGGTTTATTTTTCTGCAAGAGTGTTTCGATGTTTCCTTTGAGGAGGGAACACATTTCCCTCCTCACCGACGTTTGGAGCGGCTCAAAGGCTGTTTTCCCGGATTTTTTTTAACAGGCTGTGGAGGCCGTGGCGGTTCCAGAGGGTCAGAGCGGTGGGTGAGGATGTGAGAGGGGTGTCTTTATAAACCTGGATTTGGGAAAAGGCATCTGCCTCCTTGTCCTGGCGGCCGGGAAAGCCTCGGGCAGCAGGTGAGAGGAGCAGGGCCAGGGGGGTGCGGGGACACCGCGGCGAGGATGCGACAGTCCCAAAGGGGGAAGAAAAGGGGTTCGGGGGGGGGGTTGGGGTGCCAGGGGGTGCCCGGGCAGGCAGCGGGTGCTTGGCAGGTGTTCCCTGTGCGGTGGGGCCGCTGGAGGGGGGACAAACACACAAACACACAAACAGACAAACACACAAACACACAGAGAAGCTTTTTGGCCGCCCCGCAAAGGCTCCGGTCCCCGCGACCCCCCACCACCACTGCCCATCCCAAAAAATCGCTGGAGAAGGGACTGAGCGGGGCGAGGAGCGGCGGGATGGGGGAGAGGCTGTGCCGTGTGCGGGGAGGTGCGGGAGGAGGAGGAGCGGGAGAAAGAGGAGGAGGAGAAGAAGGAGGAGGAGGAGGAGGAGGAGGAGGAGGAGGAGGAGGAGGAGCGGGGCACCGGCGGCCGCCGCCCCGGGGGCACCGCGCGCAGGCTCCGCCTCCCCCCGACCCGTCCCCCCCGTCGGTGGCCGGCGCTGATCCCGCCGGATCCTGCCCTGCTTCCCGCTCGTCCCCGCTCGTCCCCATTCTCCGGGATGGCGGAGAGCCCGGGGCGGCCGCCGGAGGGGAGCGATGTCCCGCGGGGAGGAGGAGGAGGAGGAGGAGGAGGAGATGAGGAAGCGCAGCCCGGGGTGACCCCCGAGGGGGCGGCGGAGCCCCCGGACCCTCCCGGTGAGGGGCCGAGCGGGGGCGCGGGGCTGGAGCCCCCCGGGGACGGCGCAGGGACGGGGAGAGGATCCCCCGAGGGACCGGGGGGACCGGGACAGGAGCAGCGAGACCCCGGTGGCGACAGCCCGGGGGGCTCGGGGATACCACGGGGGGAGCAGGGAGGGCCGGACGAGCCCGAGGGCTCCGCGCCGGGCAGGGCAGAGCCCGAGGGAGAGGCGGCGGCAGCGGCGGGGACGGGGGGTGGAGGGGCGGCAGCGGCGGGGACAGAGCCCCGGGACACGGCCCAGGGTCCGAACGGGACAGAGCCCGAGGACGCAGGGATGACCCCGGCGGGCACGGAGCACGAAGAAGGGGCCCCGGCGGGGAAAGAGCCCGAGGACGCGGCCGTGGTTCCGAAGGGGACAGAGCCCGAGGATGTGGCGGTGGTCCCGGGGGGGGCAGAGCCCGAGGAGGCGGTGAGGGAGGAAGCCCCGACAGAGAAAGAGCCCGAGGAGGCGGCGACAGTCCCGGCAGAAGCAGAGGGGACAGTCCGGTCGGGGACAGAACCCGAAGAGGGGACAGTCTCGTCGGGAACAGACTCCGGAGAGGTAGAGGGGACAACCCAGTCGGGGACAGAGCCCGCAGAGGGGACAGTCCCGTCGGGGACAGAGCCCGGAGAGGGGACAGTCCCGTCGGGGACAGAGCTTGGAGAGTCAGAGGGGACAGTCCCGTCGGGGACGGACTCCGGAGAGGCAGAGGGGACAGTCCCGTCGGGGACAGAGCCCGTAGAGGGGACAGTCCCGTCGGGGACAGAGCCCGCAGAGGGGACAGTCCCGTCGGGGACAGGGCCCGAGGAGGCGTCGGGGACAGGCCCCCAGGATGAGGTGCAGGAGGCAGCCCCGACGGGCGCAGTCCCTGAGGAGGCGCTGGGGACAGTCCCCGAGGATGTGCGGGAGGCAGCCCCGAGGGAGCCGGTCCCGCAGGATGAGGTGCGGGAGGAAAGCCCGGCTGGGACAGTCCCTGAGGAAGGGGCGGCCCCGGCGGGGACAGTCCCCGAGGATGCGGTGAGGGAGGAAAGCCGGGCTGGGACAGAGCCCGAGGATGCGCTGGGGACAGTCCCCGAGGCTGAGGGGCAGGAGGGAGTCCCTGCGGGGACAGTCCCTGAGGATGCGGGGCGGGAGGCGGCCCCGGCTGCGACAGGGTCCGAGGAGGTGCGGGAGGAAGCCCCGGCTGGGACAATCCCTGAGGACGCGGGGCAGGAGGAAACCCCAGCGGGGACAATCCCTGAGGATGCGGGGCAGGAGGAAACCCCAGTGGGGA